GGGTGCGAGGGACAGGGGGGTGGAGACGATCCCTCGCTCACTGCTGGGTGGGCCTGGCGAGGGCCCACATGTCCAGGCTACAGGCCCGAGCGCCCTGGTTTGTGGCTTATTAACCAAGGCCAGTGGATGATTTACAGAGCCTCCCACCGGAGCAACCGTTGGCCCCGTGGCAAACACCTCCCCGGCCGGCGGCGCCCTCGGTGCTGGGGTGAAACCCACAGGGGCACGAGGTGTGGCCCCGGCCGGGCTGGCCTTGCCATCTGGGGACGCGGTGGTTATGAAATACCCAGGGAACACATCAAAAAACAACCTGACAGCCATTATCTAATAATAATATTTCCCTCCCACCTGAAGTCACTTTCTTCACGATGTTTCTTTCAAAATCACAGGCCTGTCAGCCCAGGCCCCTGCCGCCGCCCCCTGCCAGGCAGTTCCCACATGACAGCCCTGACAGCTGCTGAGATGGGCTCCGCCCCTGACAATCAGTTCCTTTCGCTTCGCAGGTTAGAAATAACAGCGGTGCCCACACCTCGCCCCCTTCGCCGTGACTGCCTCAGAGACGGCCCTTCCCTCCGGCAGGGGCCCCTCCATCCCGCAGGCTCAGCCCGAGGCCCAGGCCCCGTGGTGGACGGAGAAGGAGACGGAGAAGGGAGTTCTGCGTCCCGCAGGCCCACGGCCAGGGAGCCGCACCACCCTGGGGGGAGGCCCTGGCGCCCCGTCCTCAGCCTGCGGGCTCACGCCTGGAAGAGAGCAGGTGAAGGAGGTCTCGTCTCCGGTGTGCAAGCCCAGCCATAACCATCACCTGGATGACGTCCCTCCGCCTCCGGCCATCTTTCCCGTCCCACTGCCCACAGCTGTCTGCTCTCCCCATCTTCCCGCCACCACCTTCCTGCCTCCAGCCCTCAGTCCCTGCGGACACTCTCTCTCCTAGGCCTGAGGCGACGCAGGCCAGGCCCCTCCACTTTCTTGGGGCTCTACCTGTCCTCAACGTTCCCCTTCAGCAAGATGTCCCCACCCTGGTGTTATCCAGGGGGTTCATCGCCAAGCCTTGGAGAACCCATTCAACCCTTGAGCCCCATTCCTTCAAAACATGGGCTGTGCCCACCGAAGGTGTGGCCTGGCGATGTGGTGGGGCACAGACCAGCCACCACACCACCAAGGAAGGGCCGAGACCAGGAAATGAGCCCAACCTCACACAAGGGTGGGGAAGATCTGTGCTGCCCACACCTTCCCTTGGTCCCTATATTTGGGGGTCTGCCCCGCCACCCCACATCCTGCTACTGAGGCCCCCACCCCTCGTGGGCTCGCTTCTAACCTCAAGGAGGAAAGCCCACCACTTCCTGTCCTGGCCCAAACACCTTCCAGGCCCTTCTCCTGGGCCCCTGTCTCTCCACCCAGGGTCCAGGCACATCTTGCAGAGCGGAGCCCAGCCCCCGCCTCCACAGCAACCTCTCGCTTCTAGAACGCCACCTTTCCCCTCGTTGGAAAGAATTAGATGAGAGCTTTGTTACAAAAGAAACACATGCTCATGGGGGGAAATCAAACAGTGAAAAATGACATCAAATGAAAAATGAGCCCCCCGCTCCATCCTACCGCTCAGCCCCCGTCCTGAACTCCAGAGATAACCCACCCAAAAGAAAACAAAACCCCCCACAAACCTATTCTCATCCCTCACACAGGAGCCTGAGGTGCCCCTTGCTTTAAGACACCTGGACACCTGTGGGAGCCTCCCCGGTTCTCTCTCTCCCTTACGGGTGCGGTGGAAAGCACACTGGGGGCCTTTGCAGGCCATCCGGTCCTGGCATCCTCTTTGGGGATGAAGCGGCCTTTGTTTGGCCAAGTTCTGTACCACTTCCACCCCCAAAGGCAGCTGTTCTAGCTTTGTCATCCACCAGCAATGAAAACACCTTTGCACTTGAGGCCTGACCTCCCTGCAGCAACGCCCCAGCATGGCAGCTGGGACCCGCGATGCAATCCACACCCTCAGGTTTCTGGGGAGCCGATCGGGCTCCCGCCTTCGTGTCCCTGCCACGGTCAGGGAGCCCACCAATTGGCAGGGAGGTGGAAGGACAGGTGGTCGGAAGCTGCATGGGGTCAGAGTTTGGATTTCATTGCAAGAGTCGTGGAAATTCCGCCGAGACCTTTAAGCCAGTGGTTCTCAACCATGGCTGCACATTAGAATCAGCTGGGAAGCTTTTTAAAATTCTGATTTCCGGGCCTCATCCTCCGGAAATTCTGTTTCTTTGTTACTAATGTTGTGGCCTCACCCTATAACAAAAAAATCTCAGAATTTCCAGAGGATGAGGCCCGGAAATCAGGATTTTAAAAAGATTCCCAGCTGATTCTAATGTGCAGCCCAGGTTGAGAACCACTGCTTTAAGTGAAAGAGCAATAGGCTAGGATTTCCATTTTCTGGTTGCTTTGAGAAAAGTGGACTGGAGAGAACCAGGAGGGGAAGGGGCAGTGGCTTCCGGCTTTGTAGACGCAGTGTCCAGCAGGGCAATGCCCTCAGAAAGCCCAGGACTGGCTGTGAGTGGGAGAACATTGAGCTGAGCAGTCACTGACCCCCACGGCTTGCCAAGTGGGGAGGGTTCCCTGACCCACCAAGTTCAGCCGGCCTCTACCTCCAGGGACCTCGCTGGAGGCCTCCCCGACGGAGGGGCTGGGCAACCAGGTGACCTGCTGGGGCTCTGGCTGGAGGCACTCACCAGCACAGACACCAGAGTCCAGGGTCTGGGGAGAGCCCTGATCCCTGGAAGCGAGGAAGGAGAGTTAGGTGGCCACAGAGAAAGCCTCAGGGAGCAAAATACCCGTCCTTTCCCTTCCGGTTCCGAGCAACAGGGGGGAGAAGTGGCTTGGAAAGGTCACGCCAGGCTTGTCTGGCCCCCGAGCGGCCCAGAGCCCGCACATCTAAACTCCTTATGGTCTCTGCTGGCCCCGAAGCGCTCTGCCTGGTCCCCGGGCCCACCTTCCCCACACTCGCCGGTCCCAAGGTCCACCCCCGCCGCCAGCCTCTGGGCTCCAGACCTAGTCTCCTTGCCATAGAGAAGGCGTTTCACTTCCCTCAAGTCTGCGGGCGGCAGGTGCTTCTCCAAGCACTGCTCCAGCGACTCCCACTCAGGCTCCGCCATGGCTGGAGATGTCCAGGCCCAAACTGCCTGCCCTTTACCCGCGGCTGGGAGCAGGAGGAGGAGGAGATGACCAAGTCCACAGACGTGCCCTCCCCTCCACGCTTCACCCTTCTGCCCCCAGACAGTTCCCTGAAGACACGCCCCTCCTCATACCTTCGCAGCGCGCAGCCAATCAACGCTTCCAGAGCTTCCCTGG